AAAAAAAAAAAAAAAAAAGAGACCGGCATTTGAAAGTACCAGAACGTAATCACTGCTTTCTAAAAACTTTAGGAATGTCTCCTACTTTTCTGCAAGAAACATGAATTACAGATGACAGACACTTGACTGTTTCTGAATACTTCAGATTCAATCCAGTCACACAGCACAACCACCATAGGAAGAATTATATTCACCTTAGTCATGTTCAAAATCTACTCTAAAGTGTATTTCTTAACAGGAGCGACTGCTTTAACTTTAAAAAAAAAAAAAAAGAAGAAAAAAAAAAAAAGTAGAAAAAAATCTTATCTGTGTAGTGAATCAAGAACGCATGGAAAACATTTTCCAACAAATGCACATCCTTATTAAGAGCACCATTTAACTCAAGAAATGGCAGTTGAAACAGGAAACCTTTCAATGTCTCATATTCATGTTACTGCTCAGATAAACATATTCAAAGTTACAATAGCCTGTGTTTTGTATCAGGTTACAGCGTGAATGGATCTAAGAGCCTGCGGCGACCAAACTGGAGAGGTCTGGCTCTGCTTGCGGCATCGGTTCCCAGAAGTCCTGCTGCTCACCTTGCCCTAGCTTTGGTGGTTGGACGCTTCCACCACAAGGCAACTCACCTTGCCAATGTGGCAAAAGATTAATCCTGAAAAAGAAGTGGAGAGCTTTGTGCGGGCTTAGTAAATTGAACCCATCCATGAAACAGCCTGACAAGCACCAGAGGAACTGTGTGGACAGGGAAGAGGGGATGTAAAAGGAGAAGGCAGCAAGCCCTCTTCCTTTTCAGAAATAGTAAGGGTACATTACACTGACCTAGATGCTTGTGAAACTGAAGCCTTGGTCAAGTTATTATGATAACTGACCTAGTCACAGGACTCTGAAGCTTCATTTCTGTCCATTGCAGAACTGTTAGAAGATAGCTTTAAAATTATCCAGACTTCATGCTTATTGTATATAGATCAGCATTTGCAGCTTAAATTTCTTCCACTGCTTTGCAGATGGAATATTTATTAAATGTAACCAAGAAACTCCTCAAACTTAACATCAGACTATATAGCTGTCAAGCTTCCTGAAAATGTTTAGTTATCTACAGAGAAACAGCACATAACAACTAGGTCATAGGATGGCTTTTCAGAAGAATGTAAGGGATCTGATGGATCAAAAGGTACAGGAAAAACTTGCTTAAAATTGAAGTTTTTCCTCACTTGAATCTATGGACTCATTATTACAGCACTATAATGAAACACCACAATGACTGGATCAGTTGTTTCACAGCCAAGGAAAGACATGAATAATCTTTAGCACTGTTTACTTAAACAAACACTTTTCACATAATTTCATTAGCCAAGATAAAGACATGAACGCCACTAACCATTAATAGCTGAAGAATCTATTTTCTTAATCTTTCCTTTTTTCACTGCAAAACTGTTCTGTCACTGAAAAGGCAAAAATCTAAATGCATTTTCAATCTGAAAAATACTTGCAAAGTGTATATATAAATGGTGCTAAATGTCATCAGCAGAAATAGTAAATCCAAATTCTTTAAATATTTGAGATTTTTATATAAAGATTCAAACAGTGAAGCACAAGAACAGAAGCACCTTGGTTTCACAAACAGGTATCACTGATCACAGAACTACTCAGACCAAAACCATCAACTGTTCATATTGTCAAAATACTGAAGTGCAGACATTTTCCAAAGGTTTCATGTTTACCTTTTAAACAAAATGAAATTAACCACTAAAATTGCAAGATTAATCTCTCCTTAATTGCACTGTTCAAGCTATACTGCAACAGTCCCCTACATCAGCAGAGTTTATGGGACAGATACAACCAGTACTGAAGTACCATATATACACACACACTAAAAGGTTTACTCGGTAGTATGAAAGATTAACCGTTCTACTTTTTGTTTCCAAAATTCACTTTAGGATCTCATTTCTTAATTTCATATTAACCACATATTACTAAACCAATCAGTTTAGTAAAGCATTTTGAGCTGTGCCTTCAGTTTGCCTAGCTTACAACTATTCAGTTGATACCAAAAAAAGTAGAGCTGACATTTTATCTAGGCAATACCCTGCATTTACTTTAAGTTAAAAAAGATACTAAGCTTATTCCTTCCTCTAGCTGAAAAACTCAACTTTATCTGTAGACACCAGATCACTCGTAAGCAAGTCCTATGTGAAAGTTGGAGGGAAAAAGACTATCATACTTCATCTTCTATTGTCCTGCCTTTCTGTCTTTCTCAAAGTTCTTAATTCTTAACTAAAAAATGCCTCTGAGAAGCAGAAATCCTATATTAGTTCTCAGTGCAAAGAGGGGAACAAAGAGCTAAAGATTAACTAGAACTTTTGAATTTTTCTTCCTCTTGTTTGTGGTTTCTCAGTTCACTTGTCGCTGTTCTTGTCACCCTGTCAAAACTTGGAAAGGAAGAACAAAAGAAAAAAAAATCCTTAAACATATTTTTGGGAAGGCTGATATTTGTCCTAATGGATGAAGCTGCTTCATTTTTCTCTTTTTACATTCTTCCTCCTCAATCCCAAGTGGAAAAAAAAAAACAAACAAACAAACAAAACCAAGCTCTTCAGTACTCCTGTTCCCTGAAGCACAGATATCAAGGACAAGAAGCCACCTTCCCCTTTTACTTTTGGAGGCAAAAATTTAGATTGGCCTGAAGCACTGAGTTCTGCCTAACCTCAATTGTTGTGTAAAAGTAGTAATATTATGCACAGTACCTAAAACCACAGGTTCACATGTAACCTCTTTAATGACAATTCAGCATCACTTACGGAATGCTCAACGATTCTGAAATAAAATCCTTACATCACAATTCCAGCAGTTGTCCCAACATTAAAGTACAAAAAAAAAAAAAAAAAATGTCACAAGAGCACAGAAAGCACGGGCTGCTCAGCAATGAGTATACTGATATATTACCATCAATAATTGGCAAACAAAAAAGCTACAAAAGGGAACGAATTTTAAGAATCAAGCGTCACCAGTTTTTAAAAGACCTCCAGCTTCTCGAGTAGTCATGACAATTTGACTGAAAAACACAACTTTTAGCCCAAGGGGATCTGGGGCTGGTCTTATCAGAGGCAAATACTTTTGAGACAATTATCTGATTTAAGCCCAGCTCTAGCACGTTGACCCCTGTTCACTAGATTTTCCTGACAACCTACGTGCAACAAAGGGAGACTTTCAAGACGAGGATTTTCACAACTGTACAAATCCAAATTCTGCAAGAACACTAACTCACAGCTCTGTGATACTGTATACAAGAAGTAATTTTAAGTAAGGAGTGTGTTTACGCGTTTCTTTTCGTGCAACACGGATAGGGCACACAACTATGAAATATTAAAAAGAGATTACACAGCTGCAACGGGAGTAAAGCTTCTGAGAGGTACAAAATACCCTGGGTACAGCTACCACCAGATAACACGGGTTTTCGAACAACGTTAGCTGGAACGTGAAAAAAATCACTCGCTGGGAACGACGCCATGGTATTCGCTACCGCATCTCGTCAACCGAGTTATAAACAGCTGCTTTAAAACGGGAACCGGGAGAAACGGGCCCGCCCCGCCCTCAGGGCCAGAGCGCCGGCCGGCTTCACCCCTCA